GGGAGGGAGGGAGGGAGGGAGGGAGGGACGGACGGACGGACGGACGGACGGACGGACGGACGGAGGGAGGGTTGCGTTAGGTCACCGCCAGACCCTTGAAATAGATCCAAGACCTTCAACAATATTCGAAACACATTAACCACCGGCAAAAATGACATCGTTTTTCATTCTCATGTTTCAGATAACAAAGCGACTTAGGCGAGGCGTGCCAGCGTCCATAGGGCCTCGACGTCTTCAAACCCACGCCGAGGGAAGTGACGTTCAACAAGGAGGTGCAGTGCAGAAGTACAAACTGTGAGTGCACTGCGGAGATGGAGCCGACAGTACCTGCCTACGCTTCGGGAAGCAGTAAGTGCGAATATCTTTCCGTCTATAAAGTAGAGGAGCTGTTTGAGTGCGTAGAGTGCCACGAAGAGTTCTCCGAGTCGGAGGACTTGGAGAGACACCTTCAGACCCACGAAGATGAGCAGCGAACACTCGATCAAACAGTCGAGCAGGCTGCCGGATCTAATGGGAACGAGCCGGATTCATCTTTGAATCGAGTCGAAGACCAGCCGCTAGAGTGCATTGTCTGCCACGCCCACTTCTCTCAGCCTGAAGAACTGGGGATACATCTCGCCTCTCACGCCAAAGACACGACACCCCTCGACTGTAATGCGTGGCGCAGCCGGAAAGTCTCGGATGTCTTTTGTACGATAAGTGACAAAAACCCACTCTCTCGTCGACGTCGTGGTGGAATCCGCGCGCTGGGCGAAGAAGTTTTTCAGTATGCTCAATCAGGTGAACTAAGGAAACATTTACAAACCCACACAGGAGAGAAGCCCTTCGAGTGCACCGAGTGTCCCTTGAAGTTTATCAGCAAAAGTCGGCTAATGGCACACTTTCGAACTCACACCGGTGAGAAGCCCTACGACTGCACACTGTGCCCCAAGAAATTTGCTGATTCAGGTCAACTAGTGAACCATTTACGAATCCACACAGGAGAGAAGCCCTATGAGTGCACTGTGTGTTCCAAGAAATTTGCTGAATCAGGTCAACTAAGGAAACATTTGCAAACCCACACAGACGAGACGTTTGAATGCAACGTGTGCCAGCAGACCTGTTCCAGTCGTCAGACCTTGCGGATACATCTTGAAACACACTATGAGTGCACCGTGTGTCCCAAAGAAGTTTATAGGCAAAAGCAGCAAAAGTCGCCCAATGGCACACTTTCAAACTCACACCGGCGAGAAACCCTACGACTGCACACTGTCCCCAAAAAAGTTTCACTCCCGTTTCCGGTTTGGTTGCACATTTGCGAAGCCACACGGGGGAGAAGCCCCTCGAGTGCACCGTGTGCCAGAAGAAATTTTACACTAAGTGGCTCTTAAAGTCACATTTTGGAACCCACACGGGAGAGAAGCCTTTAAGTGCACCGTGTGTTGTAAGAAGTTTGCTGAATCAGGTACCCTCAAGAGGCATTTTCTAACTCACACTGACGAAAAGCCTTTCGATTGCACATTATGTCCCAAGAAATTTTCTAAGCAAGAATACCTGAAGAAACATTTCCGAACCCACACGGCCGATTAGCCCTTCGAGTGATCCGAAAGAACGTTATGGCTAGGTACAGATCTGGACGCAGGGCGGCTGACTGGCAACCACATCAAGCAGTGCTACATCCCCTTCAAAAATCAGAAAATGAAATCAAAGAAAAACTTGTAAGTTGAGAAAAGTGAAGAAAAACAGAAAAATCGTTGTACGGTCGAATTTCTAGCGAATGACCCCTCGAGCCACCCTTCGTCGGCTCCAGGATGACACCGTAATGCCCCTGTGCTCGCGGGGTAGAGCCGCGGGTGCGCTGCACCGCGGGCGGGAGAGAGGGAGAGAGAGAGAGAGAGAGAGGGAGAGAGAGAGAGGGAGAGAGGGGGGGGGAGGGAGAGAGAGAGAAGGGCGCGGAGAGAGTCAGCCAGTGCAGTGCAAGTGGTCTGGCCGTCCGTGTTCCGGCCGGGCGGGGAAAGGGGCTGGCCGGCGCCGGGCCCGGCGGGCCGCGGGCGCGCGGTCGGGTCGGACAGCGCGGAGCCTCTCGACGCGAGGTGAGGCGCGAGGCCCGCGCGCATGCGCCCGCCGGCTGCTCGCCTTATCGACCACAGGGGCCTGGCGGGCCCGCGCCGCGCACCCTTCAGTGCCGCTCGCACCGCCCGTCCGTCGTGAGGCACCCGGACACCCACCGACGCCGACACCATGGCGCTCACGCTCCTCGAGAAGGTCGGCATCGCCTTCATCCTGGTGGTGGCCGTGCAGCTGGTGCGCCGCCTGCTGCAGCTGTTCTACGAGCACGCCGTCGCGCCCGCGCTGCGCATGAACGTGGACTTCACCAAGTACAAGGGGACCTGGGCCGGTGAGTAACAGAGATTCAAATTGTGTTCAAAAATCTTCAAAAATAAATTTGGTGGCAGATTTATATTATTTTCTAAGTAGCATAAAATTATTCAAGTTTTTTTCTGGAAAAGTTTAAAATTTTCCGAATTTTTTCTGGAAAAGTTACGAATTTTTCCGAAAGCGATTCTTTGAGTGTGTGGTGCGCGGTTGTGTGTGTGTGAGTGCGGGTTATCTCTCGCGAGCTAGACGACGCCGCGGCCCCGGGTGTTGAGAGGGTCGCGGAGGCCGCGTGGGCTCCGTGCCGAGGAGGACGTCGTCGTTGGAGGCGACGGTGACAAGGGAGGCTGCGACGGTACGGTTCACAGTTTTGACGAGTGCGCGGGTTTGATCCTGCCGCGACATTGCCTATCGCTATCGGCATCTGTGTGTATGTGTGTGTGTGTGTGTGACGGTTCTGCGTGGCGCGACCGCCGCCGCCGATGTCAGATCGCGATAGGGTCCCGGGCCGGATGGCGCAGCTGTGCCGGTGGCCGGCGGCGCGCTGCGGTAGTTGCGCCCCGCTGTGGTGGGACTCCCCTGCCGGCCAGGCTGACGCCGGGCTGACGGACGTCACGATGGCAATCAGAGCACGCCGACGACGGGTGCGGAGGAGGGCTTAGTGGTTGAGCCTCTTGATTGGAAACATGGGGCTGGGCGGGGTGTGTTGTCCCCCCTGCGAGGTGGGGCAGGGGGCGGGGAGGCGCAGGGCGAGGAAGGCCTGCTTTAGCGAAAGCACTGCGGGCGCAAGCGAGGTTTGGACAGGCCGAGTGTTTAACGTTGTGCCACTTGCTGCCAAGCTCGCCCGGCCCTGCCCTATGATGGCGCTGACGTTGCTGACTCGACAGAAGTCCGCGCACAACGCCGGCTCGAAACGGCCGCGCGACGGGGACAAACCTTCTCCGCGGCGGGGCGGGGCTGGTCGGGGCTGGTCGGG